TAGCACCCCCCCCCCCCAGCCCCATGGAAAACATGGTGCCCTCCCTCCAGTGCTATTGTAGGGCACCTACCACCCCCTAGTGGCTCCCATTGACCACTGCTGCCCCAGCTGGGTAGTTTTGTGCCCAGTGCCCCCAGGGAGTTCTTCATTAGGCACTTCACAAGACTCCCTATTGCACCCCCCGCCCCGACCACAGCAGCCCCATAAGAGCGCAGCACACCAGGGCTAGTACCCTGTACTAGCCTGCATTGGCCATTGCAGCCCTAGCTGGGTTGAGAATGGCCTGGTGCCCCCTGAGTCTCCACTGGCCACTGCAGCCAAGCTGATGATGCCCTGATAGTCCCCGCTGGCCACTGCTGTTCAGCTGGTGATGTTCTGGTGCCCCCTGGAGGTCCCCGTTAGCCACTGCAGCTGGGCTGATGATGCCCTGGCAGTCCCTGTTGGCCACTGCAGCTCAGCTGATGATGCAATGGTGCCCCCTGGGGGTCCCCGTTATCCACTGCAGTCCCCAGGGTCCATGTCCCATCCCTCACAGCACTCACCAGCTGCCCGGCCAGTAGGGGCATGTACTCGATGATGGCCAGGCGCACGCGCCATTTGGCATCCTCAGCCAGCTCCACGATGGCCGGGAGCAGCGACTGCGACAGCTGCCGGATGCCGATCACCTCGTTCACACAGTCCAGGTTGGAGATGATGTTGAGCCGCACCTCGGGGCACTGCCGGGAGAGGGTGAGGCCAGACCCAGGGGAGATGATCAGGGGCTTTCCAGTGAGCAGGGAGAATCCAGGAGCCTGGGAGCCCCATGCCAGCCCCTAGCTTTAGCTGTAACGTTTTCCCCGAGCTGGGAGAGAACCCAGGAGTCTGCCCCACCCCGCATCCCAGCCCCCTGCAAGGAAGGTTAGAACCCAGGAGTCCAGGCGCTCTCACTCTCACCCCAACTCTCTCCTCTTCCCCGAGCTGGGAGAAAACTCCAGAGTCCTGGGCTCTCACCCCCACCACCCCTTGCCCCTCCCAGAGAAAGGACAGAACCCAGGAGTCTGGGTGCCCAAATCCCGCTCCTGAACTGGACGCCTCCTTGGGAAAGCTGGGTATAGGAGCCCAGGGGCAAGGCTTGCTGGTTATCAAGAAGCAGCCAGCTCTGGGGTGGAACAGGTGAGGCACAGCCACAAAGAACATGGCTCTGGTGCACAGCAGCAATATAGAACAGAAGGAGACCCCTCTCTAGGGTCTTGAAATGCACCGGGGGGGGGGGGGGGGGAC